AATATTTATACCACCAGTTGTTGAATTTTGGGGTGTAAAGAAAATTTGGTTCGAAGCTAGTAGGGATGAGTTGAGCCTTGTCATCATAGCGAGCAAGTTGTGTCGAAGTCATCTCCTTAGTATATTTCACACGGTGAAGAAAAAGAGCACCTTTTTTCTCAAAGAGACACTTGGGAAGAGCTTGAACCAACCCAAACTGTCAAGCAACTAAGTTTGGTTGGTAAGCAACCAGAGTTACTTGAAACTTTGGCAGATTCAGTCGAATGGTTAACAATCTTGGAATAAGAAAGGCCTCTCAGATCAGTAAAGACTCTGCTTCCTTGTAGCAAAGAGAGCCATGTTCGACGTGAATTCATGATGTTTGGAAAACATCATGACATAGCTCAAGAATGTTGGCCTGAGAGATTGTCCTTATTCAGTAGGAGTAAGCGTGACCAAACGAGTCCCTTCGACTCTTTTATTCTTGATTTCTTCAGCGATTTCATCTATGGGATTCTTGTTGGGAAGACTGGCTTCGAATGATGCATTCATCCAGAGTTGTAGCAGCCAAAAGGGGCCAGATAGCAAGAGGTTCCGTTTTTCTTCTAAATCTTTGAGTTGATCCACTCCTTCACTCATAGATTCGTAAAAAATCCGTAAGATCATTTCGCTCAGACAAACATCATGGCCTTTATGAAGCTGAGTGGTCATAGTAAGATATTTGCTAGATACTTTGAGGAATACACAGTGAGATAGCCATACAGTCAAGAAGGTTATATGTTCTTTATCCAAGACATCATCAGTTTTTTGGTCATAGTAATGTGTTATGAAGTGGGAATATGTAGCCTTAGCGGATGCAAAACCTATTGAGTCATCAGATTCTAGGTCTGGGTCGTAAGTGTTTCCAGTAGGTTTGAGCCATGTGATAGCGGCTATGTCAAATAGTGTGGAAGTCATCATCCCACAAGGGAGATGGAAGGTATAATGGGTGTTATACCAGAAATACAGAGAAGAGACCAACATGGTCGAACAGTAATTAAGACTCGTCTTCGACAACATGATCGGGTCATAGATTCCCATGTTCTTCCAGGTTTGGGACTTAACTTTTTCTACCTTTGCTAACCAGTTCATATAATCATCAGATTCCTTAAAGGATGGGGTCGCTTGAAAGACTCTAAAGATGTTATTCATATACCTTAAGTATATGTTATTCAATGCTACTGCATCATAAGAGGATTTTTCAACCCTAGATTTATTGGCTTTCCCTATGGGTTTAGGTTTGTGATAAGAAGGAAAAAAATCTCTAGATTTGCTATGATCAAAGCTAAGAGCAGGTAAAGGACCGCATAACGCATGTCGTTTACCAGAAACGATAACAGGAACAAGTACCTAAGATTTGTAGATTTTTCTCTTTTCTTCTTCAGGCGGCTCAGGAATGAACTATTAGCTCCCCACCATCTTTGGCTCTGAAAGTGTGTTAAATGGAGGAGGCAGAGAGATCTTCTTTAGGTATTTGGATTTTTGGCCTTTTTTGGAGTCTTTGATGCAGGTGGTTGAAGACGCCATTGTTAAAGGTTGAAGAAATCTGGGTATTTCCTTTGAAGTTTTGAAAGGTGAAGAGAGAAGAGAATGCTTGAGTTTTTTGAGAAGCGTAAAAAATGAAAATGGCTAAGTATGGAGCTATTTATAAGCTTGTGGAAGATCTAGAAATGAAAACGAAAATGCTTGAGTTTAAGGGACTTCAAATCAGCATTAAAAAAGCTGATGGTTAGTGGGACACGTTTTCCACTAGGGTTGTTTGATGGAACGTTGGTAGTCAATGCATAGCCCCATGATCTCCTAGAGTCTAGAAAGTGAGATGATGGCTAGAGATTTTGGCATGCATTGATAAGACGTTTCATAAACTGCAATGATGATCGTGATGTCATGGGTTTCTGAAATAGTGGTAGACACCAAAGTCATGCAAGATTCGTTCGAGGCGTCGAATGAAATTATCAAAAAATGCCTTTTTCTTCAGTGATGTCGAAAATGACATTTTTGGGGGGGCAATTTGTTGGTTCTAAATTTCGACGCCTGAATTGGATTAAAAGGAAATTATAGAGTTTTTGAAGAAATCGGATGAGTTCTACCAGAACTACATTTTTGGATGTGAGTCGAAGGCGTCCCTTTGCAAGGAGGAACTATTTTATGGACTTAGAAATATTTCCTAACAATAGGGAAATGTGATTCGACATAGGTACTATTGAAGGAATTTTGACATGAAGATTTGAATTTAAATAAAGGAGGGAATGTTTGTTCTTATCCATTTCTCAAAGAAGACACGTGGAGCGCTTCCAAGAGTCGAAGACATGCATAACGCCACTTGTCTCGATCTAGTTTGCTAGCCGTTGATGGCAGTTATTCTCGATTAGTATAAATAGCGAGTCTTGGTGTTAGGATGCGTGTGTGTTCAATTGTGTACAAATTCCTCAATATACTCAAAGTACCCGCGTGTAGAGAAATGAGTTCGTGAGAATGTACGTTGATGCAACACCACTTTTACATTTCAATGCAATTCAATAGGTCTTTTCATTAAGAATTTATCTTTTCCTTACGCAAGTTACTTTCTACATTTTTATCAGTCTTTCGACTTTAATCTCTTATGTACAATTCAATTTACATTTTGAAACAAGTTATTTTTATCATGAACTCTGTCGAAGTGTTCATCGTTTTTCCAAACTTTGTTTAAGATCAACTAGCACATGTTCTAGGATTTGTGTGGTCGATCCTGCGAGTAAAATAAATCTTTTTCGATTTAGAAGACCAGCGGTTGTTCACCAATTTTCACGTCGAACACCAGTGAAACAGCTAAGATATCTTTTTTCCCTTTCTGGCGTATGGCAAGTACAACCGCTATAATAAGAAATCCTACACAAGAGACACCATAAAGGGTAAAGTTAGATAAAGAACCTCAACTGAGAAATAATAAGACAAAGAAATGAATGTTACCTTTATAATAGTGAAACTAAGGGCAAACGTCAAAGGAAATTGCAACACAAAAGAATGTGAGGCAAATCTAAGAGTTTGGGAATGCTCTAGAATTTCAAACGACAAAAGAGTACGAAAAAAATAAGCAAAGAGGCTTTTATGAGCGCTCCTAGCACAAGAGTAGCACGATATCCTATAATTAGGAAGAAGAAATGACTATCAACATTCTAGATCTCCTTGAAAGTCGCCCTAAATACTCAAGTATTCTAGGGTCAGAGGATCATCATTGATGGCATGCTAAAGGGGACATGTCAATGGTTCATCAACAGAAAGACACATGTTACAAAAAATGCATTTAATGCGTAAGTTTCCAACGCTAGTGATGCCATATCACTACTTTTCACCTGATCTAATTGACAGTTGATCCCAGGGCATGCACGACAAAATCCTTCCCTTGCAAGATAGAGAAAAGGGTTTTTTGAAAACTGTTAAGGGTTGCACAAGAGTCCAAAGAGTGAATGTTATTAAAGACTATGCATAAGAAAGAAAGATCATTTTCCTCTTGATCATAGACAATCCCGACCCTTAGCTTATCACACACCGTCCAGAACAATCGAACGATCTTCAGCTTAACACGATGTATTCCACGCAAAGCAGTTATAACCATCTTGTTTATATAAAGGTAGGAACGTGTCATTTTATAAGTAATTCAAATCATCTTCATTACTCACCATATCTATTCTCTCACTGATTTGGACATTACAGTAATAACCTTCCAAGTACACTCCACACCTCTATACTGGAAAGCTCAGCACACTACATCAGAAGTCCAATCGCATTGATATATCTCACATTTTTTGTTTCCTCGCAAAACGAGTATTATAAAATATTTTACTTTTATTATGAAATTTTCTTATTGCATAGACATATTTAATAATTAACACATACCTCAAACTAAAATGGTAAAATAGATTTCGCCGCTAAATTTTATGAGTTTTTTAAAATTAACATAACTTTTGAATTATTTAGGCTTTAGGGGTGCAAGCCCGCCCCGCCCTATTTTTTTAAGATTAAAATTTTTGCCCCATAGTCTTTACTATATCTGCTACTCCATCTCTTTTCTTTGAGATTTTGCAGGCGGGCCTAAATGCATGTAATTTACCACCCCTACACAAAACATAAGTTGTGCAGCACTTCGTAGTCATCCTATTCTACTCTGGATCACAATTGTTAGTATCTCTTTCAGTCCATTTTTCTCTAAATCAATACAATGTTGCACTGGCAATACCAAAAACAGCAACTAAAGTGAAACCATGGCTCTCTTTGAGACAAGTTATCAAACATGTAGAAGCACCAGTCAGGTACTTTTTGAATTGATAGGTCTTTCTTTTTCATATTCCCTTTATCTTTTTTTCCAAGCAATGTGAAATTGCTAGGAAGAAACCTCCAAAGTCTTTCATCAAACACATTTGAGGAACCATAGATATCTTGGAGTTTGGTGTAACATAATTCAACAAAGTAAGTAAAAGGAATATTGGAAATAATAAAAAAGGGTTTGCTTTTCTGTTACATAATATTGAATTATTGATGAACTTTATTTGACTAACAATTAAATAAACAAAGCAAGTAGGTGAGGGTTTCAAAGCAACCAAACTTCTATGCTCTTTCCTACATAGATTTATGACTTTGTATAGACTTATGAAGTCAACATCATCATTTACTACTGTTCAGATATGTGTCCGTCTGTCTGCTTTTTTAACGAGCATCAATGAAAATATAAGCGATATTTTTTATTTAAATATAATTTTAAAAAAATATAGCATGTGGAAGTTAATAGTAGGAAGTTATTGAAAGTTAATAAAACTGATTTCAATGGAAGTTATTAAAGTAAGAGTAAAAATGGTAGAAAAATAAACTACACCAAAACAAAGTATTCTCTTTATATATAGTTATAAATTATAGATTATAGATTAATACTCATTTTACATCAAAAAAGAATATTGAGTTGCATTGGCATAAAAACCAATATCATTGCAAGGATAATTCATAATTGAATGGCATCTATCACCACCAAAGATGAAGCCTCTTCATCTTCTTCATCTTCCATCCTAACATCAAAATGGACTAACCATGTTTTCTTGAGTTTTAGAGGCGAAGACACTCGCCAAGATTTCACTGGCCATCTTTTTGCTTCATTGGAAATAAGAGGGATCAAAACATTCAAGGATGATCATGATCTTAACAGAGGTGAAGTGATATCAGTAGAACTCAATAAAGCCATTGAAGAATCTATGTTTGCTATCATCATTCTCTCACCAAACTATGCTTCCTCAACATGGTGTTTGGATGAGCTGCAAAAGATTGTTGAATGCAGCAAAAATTTTGGTCAAGCTGTTTTTCCAATCTTCTACGGTGTTGAACCGTCTGATGTCAGGCATCAGAGAGGAAGCTTTCATGAAGCTTTTAGAAAACATGAAGAAAAATTCAGAAAAGATAGAAACAAAATTAAAAGGTGGAGAGATGCTTTAAGAGAAGTTGCTAGTTACTCTGGTTGGGACTCCAAGGGCTGGTTAGTAGAAAGGTTTATGCTTATCATTATTTTTCTCTATCTATTGCTATATTTACTTATGGTTTAATACAACTCTCCTTTCCGTCTTTATGCAGGAATGAGGCATCATTGGTGGAAACAATTGCTGAACATATTCATAAAAAACTGATTCCCAAGTTGCCTGTTTGCAAAGATAACCTTGTTGGAATTGATTCACGGATAGAGGAAATCTATTCGCTTCTAGGAATGGGATTAAGCGATGTTCGCTTCATCGGCATATGGGGAATGGGTGGCATAGGGAAGACAACTATTGCTAGATCAGTATATGACGCGATCAAAGGCGAATTCAAGGTTAGTTGCTTTCTTGCAGACATTCGAGAAACAATTTCTAAGACAAATGGGTTAGTTATCATCCAAAGTGAACTTCTTTCTCATCTTAAGATAAGAAGTAATGATTTTTATAACGTTTATGATGGCAAAAAGATATTAGCCAACTCATTCAACAATAAAAAGGTTCTTCTTGTTCTTGATGATGTGAGTGAATTAAGCCAATTGGAGAATTTAGCTGGGAAGCAAGAATGGTTTGGTCCGGGTAGTAGAGTAATCATCACAAGTAGAGATAAACACTTGTTAACGACACATGGAGTGCATGAAACTTATAAGGCTAAAGGCTTAGTGAAAAATGAAGCACTTAAGCTCTTTTGTTTGAAAGCCTTTAAACAAAATCAACCTAAAGAAGAGTATTTGAGTTTGTGTACAGAAGTGGTTAAATATGCAAGAGGTCTTCCATTAGCACTTGAGGTATTGGGTTCACATTTTCATGGAAGAACTCTTGAGGTTTGGCATAGTGCTTTAGAACAAATGAGAAATGTTCCCCACTCCAAAATACACGATACACTGAAAATAAGCTACGACGGCTTACAAACCATGGAGAAAGATATGTTTCTCGATATTGCTTGTTTCTTCAAAGGAATGTACATAGATGAAGTGATAGAAATATTAGAAGATTGTGGTTATTATCCCGGAATTGGAATCGACATTTTGATTGAAAGATCTTTGGTAAGTTTCGATAGGGGAGACAAAAAGTTGTGGATGCATGATTTGCTTGAAGAAATGGGAAAAAACATCGTGTGTCAAGAATCTCCTAATGATCCTGGAAAACGTAGTAGGTTATGGTCTCAAAAAGACGTTGATCAAGTATTGACAAGAAACAAGGTATGTTCCAAATCATTGTTGAATTTTATTGCTTATTTTATGTCAATATAACACAGCTCTATTGGAAGTTTATGTTTTTTTTATCATCGTTAGGGAACTGATAAAATTCAAGGCATAGCTATGAACTTAGTTGAACCATATGAAGCAAGGTGGAACATTGAAGCTTTTTCCAAACTAAGTCAGCTAAGATTACTCAAATTATGTGAAATAAAACTTTCCGATGGCCTCAATTGCTTCCCTAGTTCACTAAAAGTTCTTGATTGGAGAGGATGTCCTTTGAAAACCCTGCCACTAACTAACAATTTGGATGAAATTGTTAACCTCAAATTGTATCATAGCAAAATAGAACAACTTTGGCATGGAACACAGGTAAAAACTCTATCAATAACCTTTTCCAATTTATGCTTTTTGAAATTAGTTCAGTGTCATCATAATAACTTATTTTTTGCAATCTCAATTTTAACCAGTTTCTTGAAAATCTGAAGTCCATCAATTTGAGCTTTTCGAAGTCTCTAAAACGATCGCCCGACTTTGTTGGTGTTCCAAATCTTGAATCGTTGGTCCTTGAAGGTTGTACAAGCTTAACTGAGATTCATCCCTCCCTTCTAAGCCACAAGAAACTTATTCTACTGAATTTGAAAGATTGCAAAAGGCTCAAAGCTCTTCCATGCAAAATAGAGATGAGTTCCTTGAAGGGTTTAAGTCTTTCCGGTTGCTGTGAATTCAAACATCTTCCAGAGTTTGATGAAAGCATGGATAATCTATTAAAGCTTTGCTTAGAAGAGACCGCGATAAAAAAACTACCATCTTCACTTGGATTTCTTGTATCCCTTGTTATCTTGGATTTAGAAAACTGCAAGAATCTTACTTCTCTTCCAGATACAATAAGTGAATTGAAGTCCCTCTTGATTCTGAATGTTTCTGGCTGCTCAAGACTCCGTAGTTTTCCAGAAGGTTTAAAGGAAATCAAATCTTTGGAGGAACTTTTAGCAAACGAAACTGCCGTTGAAGAACTGCCTTCATCTGTTTTTTATCTAGAAAACCTCAAAGTTATATCATTTTCCGGATGCAAAGGACCCGTTTCTAAGTCAGTGAATACATTCCTTCTACCATTTACCGAGCTGTTAAGTAGTCCACAAGAACCTACTGGATTTCGGTTACCACCTAAGTTGTGTCTACCTTCGTTGAGGAATTTAAACTTAAGTTACTGCAATCTATCTGAAGAATCAATGCCAAAAGATTTTTCCAACTTATCTTCCTTGGTTGTTTTAGATCTCACTGGAAACAATTTTGTTAGGCCACCAAGTAGCATTTCGAAACTTCCAAAGCTTGAATATCTTAAGTTAAACTGTTGCAAAATGCTTCAGAAGTTTCCAGAATTTCCGTCAAGTATGAGGTTATTAGATGCAAGTATGTGTGCTTCATTGGAAACTTCCAAATTCAATCTATCTATGCCATGCAGTCTCTTTGCATCGATGATACAGCTAAACTCGCATTTGCCTATATTACTGAAGAAATTTTTGGAGGTTTGCACTTTTGCTTCCCTAACCTTGTCAAAATAATGTTTTTTTGTTCATGTACGGTTGTGTTTTCGTAGAGAATGATAAATGAATATTATGGAAACTATTTGTGACATGTTCATACAGGCACATCAACACGGTCTACCGAAAGCGAGATTCGACATGCTTATCACAGGGTATGAAATTCCATCATGGTTCACACCTTCAAAATATGTCAGTGTTACAAACATGTCAGTCCCTCATAATTGTCCTCCAACCGAATGGGTGGGATTGGCATTGTGTTTCATGTTGGTAAGTTTTGATGATGAACCAGAGATATGTAATCATGAAGTGAGTTGTTACTTGTTTGGACCGAACGGTAAGCTGTTTATCCAATCCAGGGATTTGCCTCCAATGGAACCATATGTCCGTCACCTTTATATTCTCTATCTTACCATCGATGAATGCCGCGATAGATTCTATGAAGGTGGTGACTGCAGTGAAATCGAATTTGTCTTGAAAACTTATTGTTGCGATTCTTTGCAAGTAGTGAGGTGTGGTTGTCGCATTGTAAGTAAGCAAGATGTTGAAGATATGTACAATAACCATTACTAGGCTCTCTCATTATAGTATCTCTGGTTTTTTCATATAGTGTCATGCAAATGATGTTATGTTATGTAATTTATAAATAGAATTTCATGAAATTTTGTACCTCTGGTTCAAATTTGAAGTTAAAAGTCAGACGAAATTCATACTGCATTTTTAACCGGCGGTGTAATTTTATGCCGGTTTGTTGAGAGGATTGATACATCTGAGAACCAAAAAACTAAATTTCATTCATATGATATATGCTAGACAATAAGGCCAAATTATTGTTGACAAAACAAATTTTACAGACTTTTGAATCTAAGGCAATTAAAATGAAATCCACAAGGCTAGCTGAGACCTCTAGCTTCTACTTTACACATTGACCATAAATGATTTGCACACTTTGAATTCGAACGAGTAAAATCACCCGGTAAAACTGATTGAACACTTTGAATTTGAACGAGTAAAATCACCAGGTGAAACTGATTGATTCGAAATGCAGATTTTCAGCTAAACCAGATGAGCAAATGGTTGCAACATTCTGTCTCAGTTGTTTAGGTCCTGATGCAAAAACTCCCACACTTGACCCTTTGATTTCTAAAAGAAGTCCTGTAAAAACGAGGAGCGATTTCAGTTCATAGAAAGGTTTCAGAATCATAATTAAAGAAAATGCAGATTGTTGTAAATAACATATATACTGTATTCGGCCTATTACAGCTTTGAAATGTATCAGAAATTTTTTCAAAGATAGATGACTTACTGCTCAAGTCAGGTCTTGCACCGTAGTGCACATTGGTAGCTTGAACAAGTGACTGATATGGAAAGCTTTCCAATTCTCTATCTGCATTAAAAATCATTGAATTTGGTGACACTGTCGGTGTCGACCCTTCCATGTTCTGAATCTGTTTAGCTTCTTTAGCATTTTGTTTCTTGTTTGAAAGCACTGCGACACTAGCAACAACAACTATCGACACACATATTACTAGCATGTGAAGGATTGACCTTATAGCATACGAGAATATGTTATTCGTGTTATGGTCGATAGGGAAAATATAGTAACGATTAATGATCCCGATTATGATAAGGAAGATGATGAAAGAGGACGAGATTATAGCACCAAGCCAGATCCAACCGTTTGGACCTAATATAGCGTGTATTGGTGCATCGGTTGCATTCGGCTTGAACCATAAAGTTTGAGGATGAATTGGAATATCGGGTTTAAACTCTTTGTCTCTTGTGATGTAGGCCTCAATTTGTAGTTGCATATTAGAAATGTCTTGTGGTGTGCTTGAAATTGGTAGGATCAAATCTAGCATTGAGAGAGATGAAGTGTTCTTGAATGAACAAATTAGAACAATGTTTGGTGTTTTGCATTTGAATGTAGTGCTAAGATATATTAGCTCTCTAATGATTGAGATAAATGGTGTGATTCCACTTCCTCCACTCACCATCACAAGTGTGTCATGCCTATAGAAAAACAAACAAAAGTTAGCGGCGAATCTTAGACGACAAATTAGATAGTTAATGCAGTTTAAATATGTAGTTAATTATGTTTAATAGACGATTCATTAATCATAATTATTATGCGTATATTTGATGTAAACCTTAGGTAATTGGTTGAAGCGGGTCCATAAGGACCTTCAACGGATACTTGAAGGCGATCGATCGGAGAAGGATTTGAAAGCAACTTGTAGAGCTTTTGTGTCCAAGTTCCTTCACTTTTAATGACAACACTTAGCTTATCTTGCTCCAAGTTACTATTAGAAGTAATGGTAAATGGATGCCATTGCAACTTTGATATGCATGGCACATTTATGAACATCACACTTGTTGGATTATAACTCAACTCTGAAGAAAAAAAAAAAAAAAATCAAATCTTATCTCATTAGACCGAGTCTGAGTCTAAATATACAGCGTTACTTACCATGAGCCTTAGAGAAGTTGAGCTCAATGGCTTCACAAGGCAAAACACGAGATGAAACTAAACGAACTTCACGTCTAGATTGGAGGAACCTTAAGTATCGATCGACGATGAAGAGATAGAAACCGGGGAGCATAATGTAGGCAAAAGAAATGCCAACATGAAAGATGAAGAAGATCATGAAGATAGTGTATAGGTTATGAGTGTAGAAAAAGAGTTCAAAAAATTTTCTTCTAATTCTTGGAATGGTTGCAACCCATAGGAACAAACCAGCAAGCAAAGATATCTCTCCAGCTACATTTGATACTCCAACTTTGTCCCATTTTAGCATCTACAATGAATTAAATAAAACTTCATGTTAAAAATAAAATAAATAAATAAAAGATTCTAAGAAATTTATGTTATCATTATAAATAAAACAATTCATTTAGTATAATGTAAGATTATAAATTTAAAGAAATTTTTTTCTATTTTTTTTTTAATAATCTTAACTACTAATATTACTACATTTATTGATTGAAGTTATTCAAAACTTGATAAATATATTATAAAAAATAATATTGAAAATACATTTAACTATTTAAAATTTGAATTCATATTAAAATAAAATAAAATAAATTTTATATTAAATAAAATGACATTCAAACACATTTAAACTATTGAGTTTAGTGAAGTTATCTATTTTTTTTAGATTGGTTTGCTTGCATTTTAATTTAAATTCATTTGGATGAGAACACTCTTAAATTCTAAAATTGATTAAAAAAAAATATTTTCCTTTTTCGTAGAAAAGATAACTTTCTCATTTATTTTCTACTAGTGTATTTTATGGATAATTGTTAGTAAGGTTATTAAGACTTTTAAGATTAATTCATCCATAATACATCATAATAATATTTATGATACGTAACTAGTTGCTAAATTTCATGGAGATGTAGTTAGAATGAACTAGAGAATGCTTCTTTTTTAGCATAGCTTAATCTTTTCAATTTTTTCATAACCTACTTCCACACATGGTAATTTTACTAGAGAATTTATTAGATAAACTAAGACTGATTTTAATCTTGCAATAGTTATATGTAAATATAGAGAAAAAGAGTGATTAACTACGTGTAAATTTATTTTATTTTATCAATTAATGACGAATTCTATATATTTTTATTGATTAATCGGATAAATTGTTTTTATATTATCAGTATATTTTTATTAAATTCATAAATATAATAATATTTTAAAATAGTGTCATTATTATACTAATAAATACTTGTACTTAATATTCAACCAAAAAAATATTTACACTTACTAATAATAAAAGTATATCAGGATAACATTATTAATTAAACTTACACAGAAATCCGTAGTTATTTATTACTCTCCTCTAGTTTTGGGTTTTAAAAAATAAAAGTCTTTAAATATATGATAAATAATATATTTGGACAAATAATATACATTGTTTATTCAATAAATTCAGAAATTATATTTTTTTTTATTAAATAAAATCAGAAAAGTAATAAAAATGTCTATTTATTATAATATATAAATTTATTAATAAAAATATAGGTTATTAAAATAAATTAAATAAATAAATAAAAGAAAAAATCGAAATTAAAGGGCGAAGATTTGAAAGTTTCTCTTTTTTTTTTTCATTTTTCTGCAAAGAATTTTTCAAATTTTAATACAGTCATGGTTATTCCTACCTATTTTTACTCTAAAATTAAATAAAATTATTTTAAAAAAAAACAACACACACTTTTTATATCATAATCACACGTAAGCATGGATTATATATAAATTAATCTTGATTATAACTAATTAATAATTAATTACCTGTGAAATTTGATTAGTAGATATCCAATAGATAATATAACAAACTCCATGAGCTGTGAAAACCGTCATCAGCACGTGCCCAACCCAAATATGGTACTTAATGCAACCTTCAGAAGTGAGCCCAAACATTGGTAGCACGGACGTGCCACGTGTCACGGGAAAAAATAACAGCACTAAACATATGTTACCGACGAGCCCTAACCTTACTCCCACACTCTCCAATTTCTCTTGCCACCTGTCACAAATACACAAATAAAAAAATAAGGTTCGAATCATGACGTTCACACAAATTTTTAGTTTTTAGTAGTTATCATCACTCTCTACGATGACTTACGCTTTAGGGCCGTCTTCTTCCTTAGGTGATGATGCAATGGATGAAAAGTCATTATGCAAATAAGTTGCGAGGGTCCAAACAAGAAGAGCAATGAACATAAGCAAAAAAGCTATTTCTGTGATCGAAACAATTCCTAGAGGACCTTTTACAAGCATTGGACGTTTCCATAGAGCTGCTTCATGTTTCTTGCCATTGCCACTAATTTTACAATAACACAAACATTAATTAGATTCAAATTAAATTAGCATAATCTAAAAGAAAAAAAATCATAGATAAGAGAAGAAAAATGTTACATTTGATTTGATTTTTTGGCTATGTGAATATAAACACATCCCAAAGTGGCTATTAACAAGACTGGAAAAGTGTATATAAGAATCCTAAAACCTGAAATGAAATTACAACATTATTAATCAACATGAAAAGTGAAAACATGAAATAAATTATGAACACAATAATTGAATAAAAAAAAAAGTAACCTTGAACACCAAAATAAGTTGAATTAGTCTTTGCTCGAATTTTCGGAATCCATTTTTGTTTGAAAGTCGGTATAGGCATCATAATGAAAATGAAAAGTAAACCCAGAAACACTAAAAACACAAATAATCTAATAAAAGATTTAACCATGGTGTATTTTATTTGAGAAGGTGATCTTTTCACACTTTCTTGAGCCATTTTTTTGTCTGTAAATTTAACTGTTTCGAGAGAAGAAAGAGACACGATTGTGATTTATGAGAATCTTGAAATGAACTTTGGGTATTTATAGGAAAAAAAATAGAATTAGAAATATTATTATTTATAATTATAAAGGGACGATTAGTGACAATTAAGTATTTTATTTTCAAGTAGGCAGAATACAGACAAAATATTTAAAGAATGTTTTGATTTGATGGATCTCTCTCACTCATTTTTTATGAATGAGATTATTATACATTAAGATATATGGTTATA